TTCGATTCAGAGTTTCTGTTTTGTTGGTTTCTACCTCTGTTGAATTTCTAGTTTTTTTCATGTAACAATTTTCTGATTTTGTTGTCTGTTCAGAAGTCTGTCCTTTCCCAGTTTTGCCTTCTATGGCTTCAGCCTCCTGTGGTCACTTGCAGTCTAAAAATGGTAAATGAAAAATTCCAGAAATAAGTAATTCATAAGATTTAAATTGCATGCCATTGTGAGAAGAGCAATGAAATCTTCGGTGGTCTCACTGCATCCCTCCTGGGACATGAATCATCTCTTTATCCAGTATGTGCATGCCATAGACACAACCCACCCATTAGTTGCTTAGCAGTCATATCAGTTATCAGGGTCACTGTCTCAGTAGCCTGATAGTGCTTTTGTTTAAGTAACCCTTATTTTATGAAATAATGTCTTCAAATTGCAGAGTAGTGATGCCAACAGTTTGGCAATGCCAAAGAGAAGCTATAAAGTGTTTCTTCTAAGTGAAAATGTGAAAGTCTCAACTTAAAAAGGAAAGAAAAAATGTTTACTGAGATTTTTAATTTGTATGATATGAACAAGTTTCCTATCTGTGAAACTGTGAAGAAGGGAAAAATTGTGCATAGTTTATATAGGGTTTGATACTATCCTCAGTTTCAGGCATCCACTGGGGATTGTGCACTGTATCCTGTATGAGTAAAATGGGACTACTGTATTCTCTTGTAGCTCACTGAACTTGTTTAAGATGATTTTGTATTTTTGTTAGGCAGTTTGAAGATCTCCATTTCTTTGGGATTGGTTGCTGGTGTTTTATTCTCTTAGTGTGTCATGTTTCCCTGATCATTTATGTTCCTTATGGCCTTAGTTTCTGTGCATTTGAAGAAGTAAGCATTTCTTCCAGACTTTATAGACTGGCTTTGACAAGGGATTCCATTTACTTAATGAGTCTATGCAGAGACTTTTGGTAGGGTCTCTGGTGGGATTCATTAGTGGACTTTATTGCTGGTGCCTTTTTGGGAGGTGGCCTTGCAATGGGTTCAGCAGGTGGCCTTAGTTGATATCTGGGCCCCAGAGGCTAGCCTGTTGTCTGGGTTTATGAATTTGAGCCTGGAGCCTGATTTCACTGGGACAGACATTGACTTTGAGTCTTCATGGGGGCCCTGGATCCTGGCTCCTCTGGGGCTTGCCTGGCACCAGGGTCTACTGGTGTGGGCCAAGTTGATTGGGTCTGCAAGTGTGTCCCTGGTGCCTGGGTTCTTAGTGGTAGGCTTGGAGCTTATGTCCATAGGAGCTGGTCTGGCTCTGTCATGAGACTTGAGCCTAAGCCTGCTGGGGTCTGCCTAGTGCTGGGATGGGCCTGGTACATAGGCCTAAGGGGAAGGCCTGGAGCCTGTGCTTAGAGGGGCCAGTCTGGTACCGAGGTGCACCTGGAATCTGAGTTCCTGGAGGTGGGCCTGGTGCCTGCATCTGTGGGGGCTGGCCTGTATATTGGGTCCTTTGGGGACGGTCCTGGCGTCTGGGTATGTACAATTAATATTTAATGTAACATATTTCCCCTAACTTACTGGCTTAAAACAACATTTTGTTTGGCAGTTTCTGTGGTTTGAGTGACAGGTGTGGCTTATCTGGGCCCTTTGGCTCTGGGTCACTTGCAGGCTGCATTCTTCTCAAGGCTTGACTGGGATGAGTCAGCTTTCTGGCTTATGAAGCCATTGTCAGGGTTCAGTTCCCTGTAGATTACTGGACTTGAGAATTCAGTTTGTCACGACCTGTTGGTCAAAGGCTTCTTTCGTTTCTTTGATATGTGACCTCTATGTAGAGCATCTCATAACGTGGCAGCTTGCTTTATTAGAACAAGCAGACAAGAAGGTGACCGGCAAGAAAGAAGATGCTAGCAAATTGGAAGCCAGTTTTTTGCAACCTAACAATAGAAGTGACATCCCATCACTTTTGCAGTGTTTTATTAATTGGAAGAAAGCCCCTAGGCCTAGAAGCAAGGATCACTGGTACCTATGTCAGAAGTTGTATAAGAGAAACATTAATATCAAAATTAAGGATAAAACTATCAAATGATCCAGCAATCCCACTTCTGAATACAAGTGGGATTGCTGGATCATTTGGTAGTTTTATTCTTAATTTTGATATTAATGTTAAAGGAAATCAGTGTTTTGAAGAGACACCTGCACACCCATGTTCATTGCAACATTATTCACAATAGTCAAGATATGAAAACAATTTAAGTATCTATTGACCAAAGAACAGATAAAGAAACACACACACACACACACACACACACACGCACGCACACGCACGCACAAACACCCACACACACGTATATACACTCAATGGAATATTGTTCAACTTTAAAAAAGAAGGAAATCCTGTCATTTGAAACAACAAATGGATGAACCTGAAGGACATTATGCTAAATGAAGTAAGGCAGATACAAAAATATAAATACTGCCGGGTGCAGTGGCTTAAGCCTGTAATCCCAGCACTTTGGGAGGCGGAGTCAGGTGAATCTCAAGGTCAGGAGATCGAGCCGTACTGGCCAACATGGTGAAACCCTGTCTCTACTAAAAATACAAAAATTAGCTAGGCATGGTGGCGTGTGCCTGTAGCCTCAGCTGTTCGGTAGGCTGAGGCAGGAGAATTGCTTGAGTTCGGGAGGCAGAGGCTGCGGTGAGCCGAGATTGCGCCACTGCACTCCCTCCTGGGCAATAGAGCAAGACTCCATCTCAAATAAATAAATAAATAAGTAAATACTGCAATATCTCATACGTGAACTATAAAAAGTCTAGTTCATAGAAGCAGAGAGTGGAATGGTGGCCGCAAGGGGCAGGACAAGGTTGGGGAAGGGTCAGGAAAATGGGATTATATAGGTCAAAGGGTACAAAGTTTCCTTTATATAGGATGAATGAGTTCTAGAGAGCTAACGTACAGAATGGTGACTATAGTATTTGCAAAAATAATGTTAGCTAAGTAAAGTGATAGATATGTAAGTTAGCTTGACTATAGTTATTATTGCACAATATATATGTATATTAACACATGAAATTATGTTTCAATAAAACTATTACTTAGAAGGAATTGAAGGCTGGGCACGGCGGCTCATGCCTGTAATCCCCGCACTTTGGGAGGTTGAGGCGGGCGGATCGCTTGAGATCAGGAGTTCAAGACCAGCCTGGCCAACATGGTGAAAACACATCTCTCCTAAAAATACAAAAATTAGCCAGACATGGTAGCAGGTACCTGTAATCCCAACTACTAGGAAGACTGAGGCAGGAAAATCTCTTGAACTTGAGAGGTGAGGGTTGCAGTGAGCTGAGATCACACCACTCCACTCCAGCCTGGGTGACAGTGAGACTGTCTCAAAAAAAAAAAATAAATTGAGAAGCAATCTTTCAAATATAGTAACTCTGTATTGTCATGTGTATTAGCTATGGTGGCAAAGTTGCTGATGTTTAAATAATTTTGGATATTTATTTCAGTATGTGGTTATTTGGACTGCTTTCCTTTTGATAGGATTCTAATAAGACCAGCCTTCTTTTCTGAAATGTAGAAGTCATTCAACTCATTGAATTTAATCAGAGAAATTTTAACTACTTATTCATTGTCAATCTTCACTAGATAGCTATTTGAAGGCAGAGTCTGGGGATACAGTGTAAATCGGGGCTCCCCCAAAACTTAACTACTAATAGCCTACTATTGACAGGAAGCCTTAACAATAGCATCATAGATTAACACATATTTTGTATATGTGTTATATATTGTATTCTTACAATAAAGTAAACTAAAAAAAAAAGTGTCTTTAAGAAAATTATAAGGAAGATAAAATGCATTTGTCATTTATTAAATGGAAGTTGATCATCATAAAGGTCTTCATCCTTCACATTGAGTAGACCGAGGAAGAATTGGTCTTGCTATCTCAGCAGTGGTAGATGCAGAAGAAAATCCACTTAGAAGTAAACCTTTGCAGTTAAAATTCCTGCTGTTCAAGGGTAAACTAAACTTTTGCTCTGCCTAAGTAAACTTGTGTTTATTTTTTAAAAACTGTATTGAGCTATAATATACCATAAAATTAATGCTTTAAGTGTACAATTTAATGACTTTCTTTTTTTTTTTTCTGTACATTTACTGAGTTATCCAGCCACCTCCATAATTGAGTTTAGAACATTGGTACGACCACAGTAACATTGCTTGTCAGGACTTTTCTTGACTCTTTGTCATATAAATAATTGGTGACAAAAGATTTCTTGTAATGGAATTGTTTATTGCTTCTCTTATATGAATACAAATGTCTTCTCTGTCCTCCTGTACCAAATATAGACATTGTAAATTTTATTTAGTGGGCTGTATAATGATATACATGAGATGTGTTTGAATTTATGTAACTCTTAGTAAGGAAAATTTTATGTCAGAAAGAAAAATTCTTTCAAGTTTATTTTAGTGAGTTTGAATTAAACATTTTTTCAGTGTGACTTTAGTTTTTGATCTTTTACAGCTTATTTTTAGGAGTAGAAAAGATTCACAAGCTAATGTAAAGCCCTCTTAATTATTTACTACAAATAAACATCAATACCTTCATATGCAGGTCATGCTCATGTATAATAAAATAGAAAAGAACTAATTAGATAGAACAATTTATCATTAATTGGCTAACAAATACAATTTTTAGCAAAATTGGTGTTTACATTCTAACTCACCAGAGGGCACCCTTTTCTAGTGTATTACTTGTAACTCCAATCAACTGAATTATATCATACTTCAGAGAATTTGAGGCAATTATTGGGATCCAATTGTAGATTATTTGGACAGCAATGATGACTTTCTTTTGTAACTTTGAGTATGTTTTTGGCCAGCTATTTGATGTTAGTGTTATTAGAAAGGGGCTTGCACACAAAACAGCCTTAAATGCTTTAAACAGTAGTGTATCTGGTATAAAACTGTCTTCTCAATTTAGTCTGTTTTTGCTTGCTCGTTCTATAATGCTTCTGTTTCTCTGAACTCTTATTAAGGTTTCAGATCGGGTAGAGCGGCGGCTTCAGGAACTAGAGAGAGAGATGCGTACAGAAAGGGAGTTGGTGGAAAGACGCCAGGATCAACTGGGACTCATGTCCCTGCAGCTACAGGAGGTTTGTGAAAAACACTTTCACGGGATGTAAATCTTGAATTTGGATATTTATTTAGGCATGTTAAAATGGTTATTGCATGTGACAGTATAATTCAACACATCAGAGAAGTATTAATATAACGTACTGGTTATAGTTCAGTATATAGAATTAGACCTCCCCGGTTTCATACTCGCTCTCCATGTGACCTTAATTAGGCAAGTTTCTTAACTTCTCTAGGTGCTACTTTTGTCTGTGGAAAATGGAAATAGTAATAGTATCAATGATACCTCATTAGATTAGTGCAAGAATAAATGAATAATGGTAGTAAAGCACTTAACATAGTGTCTGTCATATGCTCAGGAAATGTTAACTGAAAGTATAATTATTATGATTAATTTTTCTGGGCATAGACTGGGCCAGAAAAATTAATCATCAAACTATGGCTCACAGGTCAAATCTGGCCCACTGTCTATTTTTGTAAATAAAGTTTTATTGGGGCACACCACTCCTATTCATTTATATATTGTCTGTAGGTGCTTTTGTGACATAATGGCAGAGCTGAGTAGTTGTAGCCCACGAGTAAATATGGCCCACAAAGTTTAAAGTTTTAGCAGTTTGGCCCTTTACAGAAAAAGTGTAACAACTCTTGAATTAGGTTGTTATCAAACCAGTTCAAAATGGAGAATAGTTACCCTTTAGGTACTCTTTTTAATTTGAAACTTCAGACGTAGATAAAGTTGAAAATTCAGAGTAAAGAATTTCTGTATAACCTTTACCTAGATTCCCTTATTCATATTTTACCAGACTTGCTCTGTCATGTATTCTAGATACATCCACATATATGTAACTTTTTTGTGAAACATTTTCAATTAGCAGATGTGATATAAATACTTGTCTATCAGCTGATTAAAAAATCATTTTTCATCTAAATAATTTGATATGTATGTTTTCTTTTATAGTCACAGTACAAAATCAAAATTAGGAAATTAAAATCAATAAAATACTATGGTTTAATCTATAGGTTTTATTCAAATTTTGCTACTATAATAGTGTTCTTTCCTGGTCCAGGATAAAATATAGGTTCACACATAGCATTTAGCTGTCATGTCTCTTTAGTTTCTTCTAATCTTGAACAGTTTTTTAGTCATCACGAGCGATGACTTCTCAGGGTGTGAACAATTTCTTCTGTAGAATGGCTTTCATTTTGGGTTTCTTGATGTTTCTTCATGACTAGATTCATTCAGGTTATGGACTTTTGGCTTGAAATTCAGATAACTGGAGTTACATCCTTCCCATAGTATCGTTATCAGGAGTCACATAATGTTGGTTTGTTACGTTACTGGTAAAGACTGAGCACTTGGTTGTGGTGTTGCCTACCAGGTGGGTTTATCCACTGTAAAGTTACAATTATTCTTTTTAAATTGTTTATTTTATAGGGCATCTCTTTGGGACTTGAACATATCCCGTTTCTAGCATACGTTTGCTCACTAATTTTAGCATCCATTATTGACTCATCTGAAACAATTACTCCTATAAGTAGTGCCAGATAGTGATTAAAAAATTTTTTATTATTCCTTCTACATTTATAAAATCCTACTGTAAGAAAGAACTTCTTGTTGTGTGCACTTATGGATTCTTATTTTATTATATTGGTTATATTTTGTTACTATCATTTTAGAAAAATTAATTTGTTGAAATTCTTTTAAATGTTTGTTTGGTCTGTATATAAAATATAAAAAGTAGAAACAAGAAACCCAAAAAATTCAAAACAAATGGAAATTCTTTTCATTTATGAAATGATTTTTCTAAGAATTCTAAAAATACACTTACATATGTTTGCAGATTGTTAACCTTTATAAATTGACAGATTTTTTAAAGTTTTTTTTCACTGTTAATTGAAAATTAGGAACAAAAATTGCAACACTAAAATTTAATGTAAGCTGATAGAAAAATCTGCTTTTCTTTTCTGAAATTCCATTTCCTTCCATTTCACAGAAGAAGGCATACCCTTGTAAGTTGGTAATTACTTTGAAGAGGCTATGTTGTTGAATAATTAGATACAGCATGTGGGTAGGCTTTTTTTTTTTAACCTTGATTTTTATACATTTGTTCTCAAAGCAAATTACATCTGGTGAGCATAAAAATAGTACTAAAGAGACAATTGTTCTTTTCTGCAAGGGAAAATTAGAGAAATTTTCTGTACTTATTTTCTTCTCTCTTTGCAGAATGCACAAAATTACAAAGAAACAGGGAGGGGAAGATTGCTTCCCACCCGGTTTTCTTAAGACACCAGAGCCTGGGTATTTGCATTGTAATTGTCAATTTGACTAAAAGCTTGAGCTGTGATTTGGATTCCATCTCTGACAATAGAATAGGAGATCACGATTGATAAGAACTGTTTAATTTCATATTTTGTCACTTTAATATAAGCAGTGACCTATACGTTTTTAAAAAGTGGTTTTAGATTATAAACAGGGTAGTGGAAGCTAGGAAAGATTAAGCTGCTGTATTTTCCTGCTCCCATGTTAAATGGCTTAGACTGTTCTGGAAAGGTCATGTTTAAGGAGAGGAAACACTTTTCCTTCTTTTTGATTATTAAAACGGAAATTTCTATACCATATGATAATAGTAATTGATGCATTTTTTCCTGTTTATGGTGAGAAATTAAATTTCCTGTTTATAGGTGAGCAGCTGGGCCTGAACTTTTAGCCACTGTGCTCTTTTGCCTTCTTAAAATGTATATGTTAATGAAAAATATGACATTTAAAACTTAAGACATTAAGAGTTTTCTTTAGAAATTACAGAATGCAGAGATTTGAAGATATATTATAGGGAGGCAGTCTGTAGTTTTGGCTAAAACCTGCTGCTTTTTAGTTATCTCGTGGGTCCTGAGGTCCTCAGAGCTTTACTTATTCCCATTTAATGAAAACATACGGTGTTAATCATTGGAAATTGGTCAAGGGAAAGCCATTTTCCTTTTCTTTAGAGTTTTTGAAGAATTGTTCACTCATTTCTGTTGCTTATTCTGATTTGAACAAAAGGGCCATGCACGCCCAGGAATCCATTTCCATTTTTGAGCCTCAGCTACTCATGTGCTATTGAAGCCACATGAATGCCAGATTTTCTTTATTTGGTAAGGACCTTCATATATTGTATTTTAAACAACCTTGTTTTTATATCTCATAGAGGCCTCTTCTTTAAGAGAGATGAATGTTTTATGTGGGTTGTATGACATTATTCTATTAATATTATCTTTTTAAAATTATAGATGATACTTTGAACTTTACTAATTATATTCTTTTTTTTTATTTTATTTTAAAATTTTTTTGGTGACAGGATCACTCTGTTGCCCAGGAGTACAGTGGCATGATCTTGGCTCACTATAGCCTCAAGTTCCTGGGTTCAAGCAATTCTCCCACCTCAGCTTCCCTAGTAGCTGGGACTACAGGCAGGCACCACCACGCCCAGCTAATTTTTGTTTGTTTTGTTTGTTTGTATATTTGGTAGAGATGGGGTTTTACCATTTTGCCCAGCCTGGTCTCAAACCCCTGACCTCAAGTGATTTGCCCACCTTGGCCTCCTGAAGTGCTGGGATTACAGGAGGGAGCCACACCTGACCTACATTCAAGTATTGTTATGCCTATAACCATCAGCCTTTTTCTTTGTACACAATAAAGTATATAACATCGAAGTAAATTATCATATTATAAACTCCGTTTGATTAGGTGCTTGGTAGTGTCCTGGCTTGATTGGTTAGTTTAAGTGGAGTTGGGGTAGGCTTGGTGGGTGCTAGTGTTGGGAAAGAGGGATTTAGACTGAATACAACCCAAAACCACTTTTTTGAAGGTCCAATATTTACATAAAATCCTAGATAAAATTTTAAGTTTCCGGTTTTGCATCCTAGAAACTCCTGACTCATTTTTTACTGGGTATTTTATGTACATTGAATATAATTTCTTCATCTTCAGCTGAATTACTTAAAATGGAAAACATGGCTGGGCATGGTGACTCATGCCTGTAATCCCAGCACTTTGGGAGGCCGAGGTAGGTGGGTCACTTGAGGCCAGAAATTCGAGACCACCCTGACCAACATGGTCAAACCCCATCTCTACTAAAAATACAACAACAAAAAAGTTAATCAGCATGGTAACACACACCTGTAATCCTCGCTACTGCTTTAACTCGGGAGGCAGAGGTTGTAGTGAGCTGGAATCATACCACTGTACTCCACCAGCCTGGGTGACAGAGTGACATCCTGGCTCAAAAAAAAAAAAAAAAAAAAGAAAAGAAAAACATGAGATAAATGCTGGAGACCCATACACATACATTCTCACACTCTTCAGAGCATTTTTTTTGAGACAGAGTCACACTCTCCCAGGCTGGAATGCAGTGGTGTTATCATGGCTCACTCGGTCTCAACCTCGCAGACTCAAGCAGTTCTTTCACCTCAGCCTCCCAAGCAGCTGGAACTACAGGGGCACGCCACTACACCCAGCTAATTTTTGTATTTTTTGTAAAGACAGGTTTTGCTATGTTGCCCAGACTGGTCTCAGACTCCTGGACTCAAGTGATCTGCCTGTCTCAGCTCCCAAAGTGCTGGGATGACAGGTGTGAGCCACTACGGCTGGCCCTCTTCAGAGTATTTGATAGCATATTAAATTGCTAGTTTCTCCCTTATCTGCATCAACAATATTCTATGCTTACATATGATGTAGGTGCCTTTAAATTAAAAGATGTTTCATGGGGACGTCTCTGGGATAGGAAAGTGCATGGAATCTTAATAGACGATGGTGAAGATTGAGTGAGAAATTAAGTGTTGAAGATAGGAGCTCAGCTTAGTGACTTTTAGTCTGTCTGAGGGACAACCAGGTTATGTGAACCTCATCAATAAAATAAGGCCATATTAAGAAAAATTGATACTTTTTTTTAAACATTTTTCTTTCTTTATTTTTTTTTTTTGGTAAGACCTAATGAAGAAATAGCTATTCATTTTTGTCCAGAAATGTAACTGTGGCTCCAGA